AAAAAAAAAAAAAAAAGTCATCAAAAAAATCTGAAAAAAAGGTATGTTATGGAGAAAAATACAATAAACAAGATTTGCCTGAGCATTACGTCCGAATTCCTTACCAAATTTGAAATAAAAGTAAAATACACAAAACAAATACTAATAATAAAAATAAATAAAAATAAAAAGAGAACTAAATTTAGTGAGTGCGCGAGCATGTTTTCAACAACGCCATCTTTGGCAATTTTTCTTTTTTTTTTGGCATAGCTAAATGCCCTGAAAATTTACAGATATGTGCTTCACATAATACAAAACCCACTAAAAAAGTTTCAAAAAATTATAAAATTGTTTAGACCCCGAACTAAAGTGAAAACAAAAAGTCAAAAGTGAAAAAAAACGTGGGCGAGCACGTTTTGACACCGCCATCTTTGGCGATTTTAAATTCTTCTTTGGCTAAGCCAAATGACTTGAAAATTGAGAGGCATGTACTTCATGTCATAGAGAACTCGTAAAAAAAAATTCAGAAAAAAAAAATATTTTTAGGCCCCAAAATATTTTTGGGCGGGGGCCGAACGCTGTCGGGTTCGGGCCCGTACGGGACCCCGAACGCCCGAACGTACGGAGGTCCGCCCGGGGGCCTCCGTACGTACGGGCTGGTAACCCTGAATATAATAATAATAATAATAAATTTCAAAAAATAAATTCTGGTTAAATTTATTCAAAATGAATTTTGGGGTATGAAAAGCGTGAAATTTGAAAAAGGAATTAAGTAAATTTATTGTTGAATTTCGAAAAAAAGAAATATCGAAAAAAAAAAAATTAATTCTAACGTGTTTTCAAAATTTTCGAACAAGAATGAACGAAAAGTAGTTTCAACTTTTTCGAAAACGAATTAATTAGAAATGTTTTCCAAAAAAAATGTCAAAAAAGAATTTAACTAATTCTAAAATATTTCGAATTACAAGGATTTCAAAAAAAAAGTCCTTATTATTTATTTTTTTTTTGAATTTCGAAGAAGAAATGCCGAGAAAGAATGATTAATTCTACGTATGTTCGAAAGTTTCAAAAAAGAAAATATTTGTGACAAAGAAATGCCGAGAAATGAAGTATTTCCGAATTTACAAGAATTTCAAATGAATTTTGAAAAAATACAAATAAAAATAAAAATAAAAATAATAATAATAGTAATAAATAAAGAATAACTGGCTAATGAAGTAAAGCGAGGTCGAAGTGATCCTATCTATGATTGATTGGTGATGGTTGGGGGGGGGGGGG